TTTCCCCAGAGCTTAGTGAATTATGTGAATCTCTGTTGACTTCCATCATCCAACCAATGTGCAAGCACATGTTTGGCTGTTCTTGGGTGCAAACTGATACTTCTCCTTCACTAAGATCTGGGGCAAATTTAGTGGCAAAGTGAACAGCGTATTTGCCTTTCGTAAATCAATCCTAATATGTACCTATACCTACATGTATGCTTTGTTCAGAGGTGGTTTTCATAATCCTATTGCTACCAGATTCTGACCACAAAAAGAAAAAGAGAAACCCAGAACAGGTATTCCCATAGCCCTGACAATTTAGGCAGAACTTTACATATTGTACGTTCACATCAGCCCCTGCCTTCAGTGAGCTTACAGTCTAAGGTACTTACCTCACCTTAATATTACACATACTATGACCAATTTAGACAGAAATTGATTAACCTACCATCATGTCTTTGTAGTGTGGGAGGAAACCCACACAAGCACAGGGAGAACATGCAAATTCAATGCAAGTGATGTTCTGGTTGGGATTCAAACTGAAGACCTTAGTGCTGCAATGCGGATATGCTAGCCACTAAGCCACCATGTATGTATACATGTTTTGTCACCTAGACCAATGGAGGGCCCGGAGGGTATTTGAGTGTTTAAACTCTCTGTAATTGAAGCATTGGGTGGGTATTGTCACCGAATATTGAAAGTCTGTGTTTGGAAGAAATTGGGTGTTGGCCAGAAATAATTCATTTTGCCAGTCTGTATTTTATAGTGGATGGACTTTTGAAACATTTAAAAATATTTGGATATTATTAGTCCTTGTATTCTCCATTTGTCTCTTTTAGGTTCTCTAGTTCCTTTTGCATATACGTAAGCACAGTGGGCCATGGCTTGATTGGCCTTCAAGAGCTCGGCTGACTTTAGTATGCTTGTCTGGTCTTTGGATCGATCATTTGTCTTCTTTGTGCTCCAGTACAGTTACCTTGTTTGTAAGAAAAGACTCTGATTTGCATTTAGCTGGTTGTGGTTTTTAAATAAGTACTTAAATAAGTAAGAAAGAAAAGAGCCATTATATTTCATCTAGTAAACATTCAGAATTTACTTCCATGTTTCATTACATGCAAAAATGTTCTGAGAACTTCTGTCACAATAATAATAGTTTACATTTATACCATCTCCAATTTTTAATTTCTGGAGCAGTAATTCTTTTGTGATGCTAAATAAATCATTGTTATCAGCGTTCTGACTGGTTACAACTGACAGCAAAGCATAGAAGGATCTAACAAGAATCCACTCATCTGGTGTGACTGTGGTAGGAGAGGACATGAAAGTCCACAGGTCATTTGTAATACATAGTTGCCAAAAGGCTTGGGTTCTGGAAACCAGAGGAGTTTGAGTTAAAGTGAACCTGTCACTCCACTTTATTATATTCCAAAAAAGTAATCTATCATCAAGCAAAATAAGTTTTCTTTGCAGGCTGCTGTTGTCTAACTAAAAATGTATGCTCTGGTTCCACGGCAGTCACTGCTCTCGACAGATGCTCAACACGTGCTTTACTGCTACAGGATTAGTACAGAATGTCAGGGAAATGATTAGGTACAATTAGAATATTTAGTTTGACAATAGGTTCTTGTTAAGATATAGATGTGTAGATTGGGTCAGGCTAAGATTTATTGGGGGACGAGCAATTATTACTTGTGCAATTTACTCAAGAATTTTGGCAAGCATACATCAGTTTTCTCATGGGGAAGCACATAGGCCAAACCTACCACAATTCCAGTTAATATGTTTTATTAGCTTTGGGCAAAATCTACCATAATTCCAGCTATGTGTCCTTTTGTTTTATATCTTATCGGAAGCTACAGCAGTAAAAATGGAACTATGAGCAATATCAAAAAAGAAATGCATTATATGCTGAAGTCTGTCCCCTAGTACTAACACATCAGTCTGGGGTTTTTTTTTTTTTGCTTTTTCCCTGTAACATAGTTTTATTACTTGTTGCTTTTGCCAGTAGAGCCATTATTTTTCCATTTCATTTAACAGGTTGACAATGCTGTTCATTCTGCAGTGAAATCGTGTAGCAGTGCTGTCACCCTGTGGAGTCTTAGATGGATATGTACTTTTGAATTTACTTTAAATAAGTGGCAAAAAAATTACAGCCCAACTCTAGCAAATGCCTTTTAGGTAATTGTAGCAATTAGTTTTTTCTTCGGAAAAAAGGTATAGACCATATGAATTAATACTTGCCATAATAAATGTCCATGGTAGCGTTATATGGTTTGTCCCAACCCCTGTAACTGTCACTTTTGCTGGACAGTCCAGGCTGCATATATAGTATATGTAAAAAAAAAAATATTAAAAAAAAACCTTTGAAATAAAAAAAAATTCATATACTGAATGCTATCATTACAGCTATTAACCCCATATAGTTACTATAAAACATTATTTTTCATTATAGCCGTCTTTTAATTTGATCAATAACTGATGTAGCCATTTGTATTTTAAACCGCGAAGGTAGCATCGAAAGCAACAGAAATTGTTTGAACTATAAACAGAAGAGCTACAATTAGCTTACAAGACAGTTGTGCCCTACAGATAGCTCTTAATGCAGGGAGCAGCGCTGCTGTCAGATTACATGCTATAAATTATAATGTAGGTGGTAATAAAACAGATATTTGTTTGCTCAGATCTTTGTAAGCATGAGGACATTATGTGTAATCCTTCTTAATAACGTTAGAGCATAACGTGAAAGCAAGTAGAAATTCCCACCGTGTACATTTAAGCTAATTGCTGACGTGATATTTATGAAATTAATGAATGTCTAGACAGAGCTTTTAGCACTGCCCATTACACCCCAAGAAAATTACAGGAAATCCCATCTTTATGACAAGTACGGGAATTTATCACTGTGAATAAAATATTAACAATTTATTATGCAGAGGTCACTCCATTAACCCATTAAACATAAATTAATTTTGAAATGAAAGAAATCATCAGTCATACAACAGTGTTTTTAGTTTTATACCAACTTTATAGATATCCACCAATATTGAATACATAAAAGTCTAACCAAACAAGCCTACCACAGTGGGCCTGATTTATTGATGGGATTGTGTACAAACAACCATGTGCAACTAACATGGAGCCATAGGCTGCAGCATATACTGTATATGTGAGATTGGCTAACCAGTGTGGTTTGCTATGAAAGGTACAAGCTAGCATCCAAACATAGACCAGATAAGCTGTGTGTGTCAAAAAAGTGAAGTGATGGAAATGTCAAACTGATGTTGACATTATTCAAGTAAAACTATAGACAAAACTTTTTTTTTTTTTCATTGTGGAGTAAAGGAGGGTTATAACACCTGTCATTTTTTGCCATCTGTATCCCTTTGGGTAAATTAACTTTCACTTTTTGTGCCATAGCCAAAGCAGGAAGTGAGTGGAAATCCCAGCAAGTTATGGAATCCCTTGGGGTACCTCAGGTCACCAGATCTAGTGTCTTCCTCTTTATTAATTATCTGGGGAAACCCAATAATTTGGGATTTTCTTTTACATTCAGTTTCAATAATAATGGTAAACATGACAAAAAGAGAGGATAAATCTTCGTAATGTGGACAAAGACGGGAATTTCTAATCCATCTCTACTCTGTCCAAAATTAAAAAAAAGTTTTGCCTTTATTAAATATTTACACAGAAATTAAAGAAGTATCCAGCTTGCTGGATTTCATGCACTGATGCTTCTTGCTTGGAATAGTGATCCAAGTGATAAATAAATGTGTATTTGTTGCCTTTTCTATTATGACAGCATAGCATGTGCATTTTTGACTTGCTGTTTAGTTGGATGCATGACATTTACTTACCTAGCCAGTCATTGATGACTTGTGTAGGAATGCTGAAGAAGTAGCAGGAGAGGTGCAGAAAGCATAGGTTCACATCAGGGGCGGACTGACCATTTTGGAACTCGGCACTGCCCAAGGGCCCGGGGTCAATAGGGGGCCCCATGAGATGCTCCTGGTACCTTTCATAGGCTTTTTTGGGTGTGATTTGAGTGTGGGCGAGGCCCCATGATCCCCTATTGCCCAAGGGCCCCATGAGTTGTCAGTCCGCCCCTGGTTCACATAATATGTGTTGTAGGTTCTCAGGTACAGCTTTCTCTCCAGCTAGGAGAAAAGTCAACACCACAGTATTGATATCATAAAACCCAACTCCAAATCTCCGGAAGCTAGCAGTCACGCAGTAATTCTTTAGATGATTGCACACTAAAAATATACAGCCATGAGGTTTTAGGTACAGAAGGGACAATGTTAATTTTCAGGGGGAAGTCAAGACAAATTGTATTTTTTTTAGAGTGCTTCTTATGCACAGTTAACATTTCTAGATCTTATCTATAGTATAGCAAATCCTTACTTTCTGAGTTTATCATGCTGATCCCATAGTAACTTTTATAGGAGTAGAAGTCTGAGAAACAGCTCTTGGCTCCTCATCTTCTCAGTGTGCCTATCATGACACACCTACGGACTTGATCCCGAACTGTGCTGCCTGCGTCCATAAACAGAGACAGTATGGCTCAGCCCCGTCCCCCATTTATAGGATTTGACTGGCAGCAGTGGGAGCCAATGGACAAGCCTTAGCCAAGCCTGTGAGAACGGGGAGAAGGGAGAGAGCTACTACAAACCGGCACCGCTCTGGATTGAGTGAAGGTAAGTATTAGGGGGTAGAGGGGGCAATACTAATACCTTTTAGTATACCATTTTTCAACTTAAGGTAGGGGTTATGCTTTAACCACTTGCCTATAGGGCACTTATACTCCCTTCCTGCCTAGGCCAGTTTTCAGCTTTCAGTGCTGTCACATTTTGAATGACAATTGCTCGGTCATAAAAATATTAAATTTTTATGATTTTTTTGAGACAGATAGAGCTTTCTTTTGGTGGTATTTAATCACCTCTGGGTTTTTTATTTTTTGCTAAACAAACCAAAAACAACTGCAAATTTTGAAGAAAAAAAAAAAAATTTCTTAGTTTTTGTTATAACACTTTGTAAATAAGTGATTTTTCTCCTTCACTGATGTACGCTAATGAGGCTGCAGTGATGGGCACTGATAAGGTGCACTGATGGGCACTGATAGGTGGCACTGGGCACTGATGAGGAGGCACTAGTAGGTGGCACTGATGGGCATTGACGGGCATCACTGGGCACTGAAAGGCAGCACTCATATGGCACTGATAGGCGGTACTGATAGATGGCACTGATAGGTGGCGCTGACTGGCACTGATAGGGCACTGACTGGCACTGTTAGGTGGCACTGACTGGCACTGTTAGGCGGCACTGATAGGCAGCACTGACTGGCACTGATAGGTGGCACTGACTGGCACTGATAGGTGGCACAGACTGGCATTGATAGGTGGCACTGACTGGCACTGATAGTTGGCATTGAAAGGCAACTCAGATAGGCACTGCTATGTGGCATTGATGTGCACTGGTAGGCACTGATATGTGGCATTGATGAGGCACTGATGGGCACTGGCAGGTGGCATTGATGAGCCCTGACAGCTGGCATTGATGGGCACTGACAGGTGGCACTGCTGGGGTTACACTGATCATCAGGGCACACTGATCATCGGTGCCCTGATGATCAGTGTACATGTCCCCTCTAAGGAATGCCAATTACTGGCTCTCCTCTTCTCTCAAGCTGTCAGCATGACAGCTCGTGAGGAGAGAAATTCCGATAACCGGAATTTCCCTATTTACATGCGATTAGCTGTGATTGGACCCAGCTGATCACATGACCGAGCTGACATCTTCGGCTCTTTCCATTGTTCCGCTGTGTCCGAGGGACACAGCTTACCACCGATCGCTGACCGGAGCCGCGCATGCACGGTTAGAGTGGGATGACGTCATATGATGTTCTCCCAGAACTGCCTTGCGCCCATCATTACCTTATATGGCGAGCGGGGGGCGGTTAAGGTAAAACAATGTTTAGAACCACTTTAACTCTGAATTGATGACATAAAGTGTTGCCTTTGCAAAATTTTGGGTACCGAAGTTTGTAGCTGTTTAATGGGCAGGTACAACTGTTCGCGGTCTTTAACTAATCTTTAGGCTTAAAATGATTTTTTTTATCGTGTGCAAAAAAACACAAAAATGGCTTTGGCTACAAATGGATAAAGAAAGAAAAAGGCCCTTGGGACACGTTTCCTCCAATTGACACCAATGATGGGGCACCATTCCTCCCACCCACCTCTAACTGATAGCTTTATTAAAAAAACTAAAATAAATAATACTGCCATTTTTTACTTATCTGAAGCCGAAGTCATGTGACACCACTGACCTGAGGCTTCTACTCTTTTCATTACTTCCTGGTTGGATCTTTCAGGTGTCCACATCACTGCCTGCATAACATGGACACTCCTTTTTGGATGTCCAGTGTTGGAGTTCTCTTAGGATCCTGAAGACTACTGGTGTCAGTGGAAGGGTCGGGAGTCCGGCTGTTTACACAGCACTGGATCGGTGGACCCTTACACACAGAAAATGGGGCTAATTGATCTGATCTTACATTAGTATATCTGGCTTTATTGGGTAAGAAAAGCACAAACATTAGAAGGATGGGTTAAAGGTGGCAAGAGGAGGAGGTGTCCTATTTAGCCTGGAATGGGGCTTTAACTCAAGTCCTGACCAAAGTCCCGATATTAAAGAGACTCTTACTTTTCCTTGAATGTGTCTGCACATAACCCACCTCCCAAAACTTTATTCTTGCCCAGTTGTGCTCCCTTGTTGCCTCCCTGCTGTAGCATCTCTATCTGCTTAAACTCTTGTGTCAACTGATGCTGGAACTTAAACAGGGGGACTATGTCATGGCACCTCTCCACTTGAAAGTGCTCCTTCCTAGTGATCAGCTGTTTAGGCCTGAGCACTGTGACCTAGGGGAGGTAACATTCTTCCCCATACTAAGAAGCACTGCTGCATTAGCCGGAGTTCTGGCAGTGCAAGGAGGCAGTGAGGGGAAGAGACTGAATAAATATACACAAGTTTATCGCATTGTCAAGTGGTAAACTACCACCCTAGTAGCATGGAGCAGTGAGCTAGGCACATGGGCTCTCCAGTGATCAAAGCTGATAAATTAAAGCTTCTTCGCTGGTATACAACTGAAAGAAGTCTCAACTGTTATTTTAAAGTGGTATTAAACTCACTTTTTTAACACTACTGACAGGTAGGGCTTTTATGACAGAAGAGACCCTATCAGCATTATCTATCCTGAATACTTGCCCTCAGTGTCAGTTGTAATGTACACTGAGCTACACATGCACAGCTCATCATGCATAAATAGAACCTGTTTTGTGCTGCAATTACCTGCACATGCACAGGAGTGACGTCATCACCGCCCAGCCATTCAATCGGTTGTAGAGACAGAACCCAGAAGAAAGACTGGGAGAAGATGGGAGTCACCTGCTCTCCATGGGATTGGTTACACCATAGCGCTGGAGGCCACATTATGACAGGTATGTCAGTAATAGTGTGCTAGTATGTGGTACATACCAGTACATTATGACTTAAACCTGCAGGGGCAATTTTTTTAATCGTGCGTTTACTACTGCTTTAAAGTAGAACTTAAGGAGCAAGGAATAGTTCCTGAAGCTGTTTTAAAACAGCACCCAGGATCTTAAAATTATCTAAAACACAAACTTTTTTTAGATTGAAAAAAGGAATAACTAAAGCCTAGTTGAACTGTCTGTTAAAATCGACTAAATACATTCAGTTTGCATAAAAACTAAAGGTGATCAAAGTCTTACAGTTTGTTTTCTTTGGAAATCAGCCACAGTCAGAGTAGAAAAGCATGCCACCTGCCAGTATCCTACAGACAAGGACAGCTTCTATGTGTGTGGAAGCTGCTGTCTCTTGGTCTGACATACAGTGGGGCAAAAAAGTATTTAGTCAGCCACCAATTGTGCAAGTTCTCCCCACTTAAAAAGATGAAAGAGGCCTGTAATTGGTATCATAGGTAGACCTCAACTATGAGAGACAAAATGAGAAAAAAAATCCAGACAATTCTTTCCAAATCAGCCAATGTGATTGTCTGGATTTTTTTTCTCATTTTGTCTCTCACAGTTGAGGTCTACCTATGATGCCAATTACAGGCCTCTCTCATCTTTTTAAGTGGGAGAACTTGCACAATTGGTGGCTGACTAAATACTTTTTTGCCCCACTGTACTCCTTAACATCTCTTGCTGATCGGATGTCACAATAGAAAATGAGAGCAAATCTCTCCAAACTGATGGCAAATCTCTGTTAAGATGGCTATGCACTAGTAGAATTTTGCTTAAAAAAATGTTATGTAAAGAAGGATCACGTCAATGTTGGCTGACAACTGCAGCGACAAGACATTTTGAAGGAGCAGGATGTGACATTTTTCTTGAGCAAACAAATCTTTAACATTTCAAATATTGTAGTGTGGTTTTCATTAAGGAAAGCCCATTCACTCCAAAACCAAATGTGAAAAGCAAACATATTTTAAGTATTTTCAGACAATATTCGTCATGTCATTGAATGTGCTAATGACCATGTTAGTGTATGGCCAGCTTCACACAGTTGTCATCAAAACAGACTTGCCCATTGAGTACAATTGCTATCTATTCCTGCAATTCCTGCGGTAACAACCACAACATTTCTTCCCATTTTATGTCCCAATCACAACGGTCACCTGGACCAGTATTATTTTTTTTTTTGGGGGGGGGGGGGGTGACACAGCAAAATGTACCTATTCTATCCAAGCTTAAAAAAAACAGTTTTGAATGTAGGGGTTAACCTTGTTCTTTAGTTTATTCCATTTAATACTTTAACTTATTTACAACAAATTTACAAGTTTAACAGTTGTTATGCCTCAATTTTCACTGTGAGATTGACTTTTTTAAAATTGTTATTTACCAAAATATATTAGCCATTTTAGTACAACACTAATAGGTTGGCTTCATAACTGTTTTGCGGTAATGTGTTGGGCAAATCTCTGTACTAATTTTGGCCGTTTTCAAGGCTAATAAGGCAAGCTAAAAAAAGTCATGGGGAGCTGGGCACTACCATTGGGGACCTTTAAAGGATAAGTTCACCTTTTAAAAAATAATAAATGAATAAACGCACTTTTTTGTAGGAAAAAAAAGTATATATTAATATATTTTTTACTAGGAGCCTGGAAAGCATTGCATAGTGCGATCAGCAGATTGCGGATGCAGTGGAGGGTTCCTGCAGACTGTCAGTGTAAGCTGTCTGCTCATACCTCGCCGGGAAGTAGGCAACGGCAACATGTTCCCAAAAGTGAGCTAATCCTTTAACAAAACACCATTCTTTTAATTGACATGCTTGGGAGATGGCTTTAAGTCAGGTCACAGAACGATTTTCATGGACATTTGGACACTGTATTCAGGAATCACATATTTTGGGTTTGTAATTGACTTTTTTAACTTTGACATTTAGCTTGGCTTAAATACAGCAGCAGCACCCTCGACTGATTTACTAGGAAAAGGCATTTTTAGCTTTGGCTGCGACACCTGATTTAGTAACCAATCAGCTTCTAACTTCAGCTTGTCTAGTTAAGCTTTGACAATAAAATCTAGATGCTGATTGGCTACCATGCACAGCTGCACCAGTTTTAGTAAATCTCCCCCAGTGTGTCTGAGATGGTGGACTATACTGTCAGTGGCAGGATAACCATGACTGTGGACACCTGGTCCAGTAAGCATGAGCAGGAACACTATTTTTCCTTCATGGCACACTGGGTCAATCTTCCTGGGGCTGGGTTGGTTGCAGAAAAAGGCACACCACTGGAGCTGGTGACACGATGTCTTGTCATGTCCTTTATTGTAGAGATAGGAATGGCCCAGGAGAATGACTTTTATATATCTCTGAATCAATTTAAATCATCAGCATTTTAAAGAGAAAAGAATGTATTGCTTCAAAAAAAAAAATCAGCTTTCGAACAGACTTTCAACTGCCCTAATCAACCCAAAAACTAAAAGTTATAGTTACAAAGTGTTCAGTTTGGTGAATTCCTACATCATTTCGGACAGACTGTGAACCTCAAACCCATAGTATTGGTGAACTTGAACCTCATCTCTAGTGGTAACACACATTTTAAAGCACATTTTACAGCAGGCAAGCTCAACCTGTGGCCCACAGGCCACATGTGTCCCTCAGAGCCTTCTGATGTGACCCTCAACCTCAAACCATGGAAACGCACTTCTATTGTATCCTGCAGGTTTGATGCACTTTCTGAAAGTGCACCAAAACTCCTGAACGCAGGTTAGCTGCAATAGACTTCTATATATCTTGTGGGTGTGGTGCACTTTCTGAAAGCACACCACATCTGCTAGATATAATAGAAGTCTATGGCAAAGTGCAGCTAACCTGCAGGAAAGCCGCAGGTGCACTGCGCTGCACCCATGGTGTAGGTAAACCACATCGCATCAGTGTGAAAGCAGCTTTATAAGGTTAGGACAGTAAGGTGCCATTTACATTTGTGATTTGAGGGACAGTAAAACCCTTTAATTGAGATGCAGTGTATTTTTACCAAATCCCCCAACCACTAGTGTA